TATTGCAGGTGGGAGGTCTCGCTGCGAATCTTGGGATAATTATAAACATCTAACATATTTTTCTTTCTTTCTAGGGAATATGAACTGGCAGGCCGAAGTATGTAATACCCCCTGATCTCTTAGGGGGGGGAAAAACAGCTACAGGGTGAAAGGTCAAACCACAGGCAGTCAAAAGGGAAATAGAAATTTGCACCAAAGATTGTTTAATAGCGGCCCCTGCTGGACGAAAATTAGCAGGCAGAAACGGTCTTGTCGGTCCGGAGTACAGTACCATGACCAGTTTCGACCCCAGACTTGAAATTACTCCGGGGCTGTCATCGGAAGATACGGAAATCCTTTATTGACTAGATTTCGTTATGAGTCACACCCACAACATCTTTTTTTAAAAATGAAACCCCCACAGGCACACCAGCCCTCTGGGACCAGAACTGGGCCACCCCGGATAGAACCGAGCTCACGATTACTTAGTCCTTAAACACCACACGGTTCCGGTCATAAGGGCCAGGGTACTGACTGCGGTGTCCTGGCTGAAATACCCCCTGGGCTCGCACAGTTTCTTCTGTGCGAACAAAATGAGTTTGTTCTACTCATGACATTGTTTCATTTTTACTTATAAACCAATACTACCTCAATAGCAATAGGTACTCAGTCCCACCCCCTCGTGTGTGTTCTTCAGTGTTGTGCTGTGACATTATGCTGACTGGACTAGTGTATTGTGCAGCTCGGCCCCAGGAGAAACTATATTTCGTTCTATTTTATATTTCGTTACACACATTTGTGTAAGTGCAGAATGACAAGAAAGTGAACTGAACTGGCTAAAACTTCCCTTTGAATTGAGATGGTGAGGCGGGGTCTCGATTCTCCAGCCGAGCTGCTCTGCATTGGGCTGCAGGGGGCTCAGGTGCCCCACTAGGGGAGGAGGCAACTCTGTAGAGGAGGATGAAGTGGGTCCCCTCTTCCCCGTGAAGAGTTCGGGGATCCGTTTTTTACAAACAAAAGGAGCCATTCGGGCCCGTCCAGCCCATTCGGCGATCAGGAGTTAATTGATCCTGGGATCTCATCCAGCTGTTTCTCAAAAGACGCCAAGGTATCGGCCTCAACAACGTGGCTGGGTAGCTTGTTCCACACTCCCACAACCCTCTGTGTAAAGGCATCCTGACCAGGGGCGTAGCCAACAGGTGGGCCTGGGTGGGCCCGGATGGCTCCTTTCATTTGTAAATCAGGGTGACCCTGATTGATCCTAGGCCTACCCAATCAGTCCAAAGTAATTTAAGATTTTTTCCCCTTGTTTGCGTTACGTGATTTGCTTTTTAATGTTACGTTTTTGATTTTTTTTCATCGTATGTGGCTCTGTTGGCTCTATTACAGCTATTGGCTCGCTGTATCTTTTGTGACCAATAAGAAAATTATGTAAATATAGTGGGGCGGTGCATGCGAAGCCGTCGCCTAATTGGCTGTCGTCGTCGTCAGACGCCCTTAAGAGCTATCTAGCGCTGGGTTTTTGGTTTATTAACTAACATGGCAAAACAAATGCATACATCTACGTTTTTCAACAAGCCGCCTGTAGATGACCAGACCAGTCCCGAAACAAATAAGACACATGAGATGCTACAGGCGTCTTGGGTTTTAAGGAGAACAGCCTGGCTTCCCGAATAAGGGGCAGTGCACACGTTTGCTTGTAGCAGCTCGATACATGCTCGACCTGTAGGAGTTGAGCATGAAGAGGTTCTAAAGGTTTTCCTGTACACAAATTACAAGTTTTGGAATGCATGAATAACATTAAGATAATATTGACGGATAGATGCGAGTGTGCATTTTACAGATAACTATTCAGATCGCCTCTAAATGCCCCGCAGTATTTTTAAGTGAACGACGTTTACAGAGCTTAAATACATCCGAAGTATGTATTTGACGCTTTTATTAGCAGACCATTCTTGTAATTAAAGGTACAATGAATTGGTTAGCACTGTAACGCGACTATAGAAATTCAGTGTTAAGTCTTGTGGGAAGTCATGAATTTCCAAATTAGGTGTCTTTTGGCACCGAAAATAGAATACTTATTTCGTGGATTTCATACAATTTTTAAAGCATCATGAAGGATCAAACAAGATATTCAGAACTTATATATATTCGATATTACCCTTGGGGCAATGCATTTACTCCAATCTCTGACACCCATACGTGCACGTTCTTCTAGTATGTTATGCTCAAATCCGCTGAATATTTATAGGCAAGGTAAAAGCTCCGTGAAGTTGCCCCCCCAAGACAGCACAAACGATTAAATCCACCTCATTCGTTAGTGCTACAGTACGTTTGCTGCTTTCGTTCCCGAGATATAGCGCTGTTTTTCCGGTGATCACGTGACCATGCACGGTGACGTTGACCTCCAGTGACCCCGTCTGCCGAGTTCAAGCGCTCTGTTACAGTTTAGCTCGTACCCGTAACATTTTAAAGACAATCAGTATCCATAAACATATGAGCCTCCTTAGATGTGAAAAATACTAAGACGCATGGTAACAATTTAACCATCTATGACATAGATGGTTGTAATGTATGTAAAATCACCGTGATTGTAAGGTCTATGGTTTTTATTTTCTAAGGCACGTTTTCCATTTCTTTCCCTACCTTGACACGCTGTTGCCAAACGCGTAACTGTGGGATACCGCCGCGACAAGACCTCCGCAGCACTTCATGCTAGGGACTCCATGTATATCGCATGTATATCGCGGTAGTGTTTATCACGACTGGCGCCTTGCTTCCATGCCACCCTAGCACCGCTGTCGCAACAAAGGTCTCATATCAGGACATGATATACCCAGATAGGACCCGTCGCAATATATGGACTTTGTGTCGAGTCATGGGGTCAGCATATCCTGTCAGGGTATGTCCTATCGCAACATATAAACTTCAAGTCGCGACATGGGGCGGGGGAATTTTTTCATATCGCGATATATGGACTCCATGTCGCGACATGGGGGGTGGGCATTTTGGCTGGGCATATCATATCGTGATATGCGGGCTCCATGTCGCGACATGGGGGCGGGGCGTTTTGTCGGGGGTATGTCATATCGCGATATAGGGCCTTTCATGTCGCGACATGGGTGGGGCATTTTTTGTCATATCGCGATATATGGACTCAGTGTCGCGACATGGGGGGGTCGGCATTTTGGCTGGGCATGTCCTATCGCGATAAGCGGGGCTTAATGTTGCAACATGGGAGTGGGCATTTTGTCGGGGTATGCCATATCGCGATATGCGGGCTCCATTTGCGACATGGGGGCGAGGCGTTTTGTCGGGGTATGTCATATCGCGATATAGGGACTTAAAGATGCGCCAGTCGGAATACGTATAGCGATGTGATCGTGATGCGCGAACTCCTATCGTGACGTGCTATCGGAGCCGTGAACGCGCTGTGAATGCCATGACGTTCTTTGTCTGTTATTCAGCTTTGACCTCAGTGCGACTTCTCTTAGATTGATTAGTACTTGGAAACGAATGGATGTGTTACTGTATATCCAACGTGCTCACAGCACACACGGTTAAACGGGACAACAGTATTTGGACCAAGAAGAACATCCATCACCTGTGTATC